GGATGGATTATTGCTGCTGATGGATGCTCAGCATGAGGAGTGCGTGCATAAGTACTGCATGGAATAAAATAGATGGCTGTACCACAGCTGATGTTCCAAACCTTCCAGTGTGTCGCTGTAATGTTCGTTGTGTATTAGGGATTCTTGCACTTTATTTCTGCTCAGTGGGAAGTCATCCTCCTGTCACAGTCCAGAACTTGGCGGAGACAACAAGCCTTCAGTTTGTTGTAGCAGCCAAGAGTACTGTATAAGGGATTGTTCTCCAGCATGTATTGTATCCTGCTCTGAATGCTTCGAGTGTAGCAGAGCCATTTGCTTCACAAAAGGTTCCAATCTCCTGTTGAGATGCATAATCAAAATGCTTTTCTTAGACTCCCTCACTTATTCTAACAAACACAAATAGGAAATGCGAGTGCCACAGTCACCGGTCACTGGACAGGACAGGCTGGTATGTAAGGAGCAGATTAAGAGGAGGAAGATTCAGAACAGCCACAACAAAGCAACCTGAGAAGGATATTAAATTGTAGTTGTAGCCCCAAACACCTTACTCTTGAAATTCTAAATCTTGGTGTTGGGAACTGTGGTTTCCCCAAAAGCTGCAGTGTAAGGTAAGCCTCAAATACGCTGTCAAGAGTCCCTCGCTGGCTGATGTCTGAGACACACAAGAAGCTGTCTGCAGTCACGGCTTAACTAGCGGAAAGAGGAATCTAGTGAGTACCTCAGTGATAACTTCCAATTTTTTGCTATTCATAATAAAGTTGCTTCAGGTAAATGCGAAGTAAAAAAGTCTCACATCATCTACATTTATTTTAAAGAGAATTCAATGAAATATTTGTATACTGTATATTGGCATGTCCATACACAGACAGGGAATTAGAGCTTAAAGTAATTACAGAGTAGTTAATAGTCGTTCATTGCAATTGCTGTTCTCTCTCCACTACTGCAGGCTACCCTGACCCTGAGGTAATGTGGTACAAAGATGATCAGCCTGTCAAGGAGTCCCGTCACTTCCAGATAGATTATGATGAGGATGGGAACTGTTCTTTGACTATTTCTGAAGTATGTGGGGACGATGATGCCAAATACACCTGCAAAGCTGTTAACAGCCTTGGGGAAGCCACATGCACCGCAGAACTCCTTGTGGAAACAATGGGAAAAGAAGGAGAAGATGAAGATGAGGAGGAGGAAGAATGAAACAAGGCACAAAGAAAAAAAAAAAAAAAAGAAAAAAATATATTTAAAGACTCTCCTTACAAGGCTCAGAAAACCAAGTTACCAAAAGCACCTTGTGTGATACATAGGTCTTCAGGGTCTTGTTTTTTCAGCATGATCAGTTGATACCTGTTTGCTTTATGTATGGGCATTAATTCAAATCAGCAGGCAATTTTAAGTTGCTAGCATGATTGGATTTACTTTAAGCAAGTCATCAACTAAGTTGCCCAGTCTATTTTTGAAATCAGTTGTATGGAAAACAAGTCTACAGTTATATGCCGAATGTCTTAAAGAAAAACAGTCTATTTACTGAGCTCACTGCTCTAAACCATCACTTCAGACAAAACAGCAGCTAAGTTGGCTCCCCAGGATCTACTTTACGAGGAATTGTTTGCCAGACACACAGTGAATTTCTCTAAGAAACAGACTGCTCCCTGAGCAGTAGTTTTTATAAGGAAAGGTCTGACACAGCCAGTATTGCCATTTGCATGTTGGTATTGTTAATTTTTCATTTGTTTTAAACAGAATTTCACAGTCCAAACTTCAAACACATTTGCTGTCCTTTCTCAGTGTGCTGTTAGTGCTGTTGTAATACTGGCTAAAGTTAAACATCCAGGTGGTTTCCCAAGATACTTCTGACCTTGCTTCTAACCAGCTGATCACACTTTGTCACCTTTCCCTTATAGAACCTGTCACTCCAGTGCAGCTACTGCTGCCTACTTAACAAACAGACTGAAAACACAAAGGCTGAGAACAGTTTCTGTTGTTCTGGTGGGACTAATAATGACTTACGATTCATGTATGTGCTGCTGTGAAAAAATAGGTTATTGCACAGTGACTTCTATGTGCATGTGTGTGAACGGAATCCAAGGTTTGTTAAAGTTTTACTTGCATTTATTTGGCGATTGCAAAACAGATTTCAACTGATGATAAGCTGGAAATTCCCACAGATTTTTGGAGTAGCCAAAAAGATAGTAGCCTGGATTACAAACTCCTTTATACTTAGCAGTTTCCAAAGAATCTTAACCTATATAGGACCTATTTCTACCTTATGAGCTTGACTGTCTTGTTTTTGTCTTGAACCTGCACCAGTAAGGCTGTTGGTTTTTTAAAAATGCAGAAAAACAAAACGAAACAAAAAAAATCCAAACCCTGGGTTTTATCTCAGAAATGGTTAATGCACTCAGACTTAGTAACTTTGCTTTCCTTTCACAGTATTGGCACTTTTAAATTTTTTGTTTTTGTTGTTGTTCAGAGGTAATATCAGAGGCTGCAGGGTGATACGCATAATCCAAAACCAGTGTGTCTTATATCTATGTATCATTCCAAAAGTGATTCTTTTTCTTTTCCACTTTTTGTGTGTAAAGTACAACCATTTGCATTTCAAAGGGTACCTCTTTTAAAAAGAACGTTACCTTAAATCCTCACCATTAAGTAGTCAGTGTACTTTAATACAGGTGTGTACAATATCAACCTTAGGTTGTTTGGTATTACCTAGTTGTGTATGTGTTTCATATGATTTGCTCTTCTACATTCAAAGTTCAACTAATGTGGATGGCACAATGGTTTTTAACTGCTTTACTCTTTGTTGCTAAGTTCAGATTGCCAGCATGTCTTTTCAATTGATAAAAACCTCTTGTTATACTAAACACAGTATTGCCACAGTTCCTTATACAGAAAGGTTTTGAATCTGATTTAGAGCATACAGTGCTTTTCTCACGTTTTGGTTTTTTTTTTTTTTAAATGTTTTAGGCAACAACGGGGTGTATTTTGTACCTTAATAAATATATGCTAATGTTCTCCCAGATTGTTAAACCATCAGAATTGCAAAGATGAGAACGCTACGGCTGTAGTTACTCACAGTTCCTAAATAAATAATACCACAAAGCATGCTCCTTGTATACTCTATTGCAGGCGTCACTGCGTCCACGCTGGCTAAGCGTATTGGTAGCAGCGGTCTCCTCCTGCTCTGTCCTGAGAGCTGCTGGGCACGCAGATGGGTGAGGAAGAGGTGGCAGCAGTGAAACGTCCTTGACCTCCGCGGTGCTGCGGCACTTCCCCTGCCCGGTGAGCGCAGGCTCACGCTGCCCCAACGCCACCAGGTGCAGCCGGGGGCTGGCACTGCTCGGAGCCCCTCACCTCCAGCCTCCTCGCATCCCTCACAGGGAACAGAAGTGTAAACCTGGATGGGGCACCACAACAGCTGTGGTTTTCTTTTACAGCTGAGAATTCCCTTGCGGTGGGGAAACGTATAGTTCAGAAAGACCGTAAGAGCAAGAGAGAAAAAATACGGGGAAGTCTAAATGTAGATGTGTACTTACACCAGTTCTTACAAACTGTAAAGATATTTAGCAAATACGAGTGTGCTGCCTTTAAGCAGACTTCTTCTAATGCACAGTCCAAGATACTGCAGACCATGCAGGACCACGCAGAAACTCCCTAAAACAAATACTGTGGAACACTCTGCTTGTAGCAACACATTCCTTGAGCAAATCTTCAGCCTTTGAAGCACTAATCTCCTTTACTAGTCCTTCCATGTCCCACAGGCTATAAACTGCCTATTTTTCCTTTTCCCCAAGGATCTAACTAGCTTACCCTGTTGCCACCTATTAACACACCTTCTAGTCTGCAGGAAACAATGACCTCTACTTCAAAAATGATGTGATACATATGCTAACTCTGAGCAATCGACTCCAACCTGTATTTGACCTTGAATTTTTTGGTTGAAGAACAGAATTCTATTTCCACTGAAGGACATTTTATGTACTTGAAATCCTGTCTCATTTTGCCAGCCATCCTAGTTGGTCTAATAAAAGGTATTACCTCTTCCTATAAATCTTGTCCTGCTTGTATATTGTTTGCTGAAAGCCACTCTTGGGGTGTGGTAGGGTTGAAACAATCCCCAATAGCAGCGGTTATGCAAGACATTGGTACCGTCCAAGACGGACCACTTAATTCTTGTATTTCTTTTATATAAAATTCAGTCTTCTCAACAGATATAGAAAACTTGGGACTGGCCAGTTTTTCACTAGTTGGGTTTATGGGTTTGCAGAAACTTAACTTACTTCATTACAGGCCTGTCCAACCACCCAAGCACCCTGTGCGTATTTTTGGTTGACAAAGAGATCTTTGCTAATTGTATGCGTGGCATTCAGAGATTTCTGTATCATTGTTTCTCTTTGCTCAGAAGGAAGACAGCACGGGACTTCACAGCTCCCTCCTCTGCAGTGTCAGGCTTTGAAAATGTAGAAAGTTTTTTTAGTTGCGTACATGAATAATGAATCTGTTTCTCTAAAATTTCTTGGAATATTTATTGAAACATTGCCCTAAAACACTGCGGTCTGAAATTCTCATAAATTTTTGGAGTCCCACTGCCTGCAAGCAATGTACATGTAATGCCATCAGTTTATTAGGCTACATACTTACGTGAAAGCAGAATTTGCTGGGATGGGGAGGAATATTTATGCTGTTATTCTCCACAGCTCATAAAGGAACTGTACTCTAACCAGCATGAATAATAAACTGAGAATTGTTTCTGTAATTTGATAAGTAACTCCATTGAATATTTAGTTTCTGCAGGGGGAAAAAAAACCCTAAAATTTTCATCCTTTCATTGTAACTCTTTGGAAATGCAGTTCTAGTTCTACCTCCCTTTAAGAGGATGCTTGCTTTTTGCTATCCAGGTTTCGGCAGAAAATGAGCTACAGCTCTGGCCACACTCTGCTTCAGCAGCTTATTGAACTATAAAAGTTATGAAAACCTACTCAATATTCCTAAAATAACCTTACCTTGTCAACTAACGCTACCAATTTCCCTCAGGAAATGGGAGACCTACTTCTTCCTGCAGGAGCGAGAGCGCAAAGGGGCATTTTTGACCTGTTTTTAAAGGGATGGAAAAGGTCGTTTATCGCCGGGTCGGGCCCGCCCCGGCCGCGCGTTCCGTGAAACTCCCCGGGAACCGGCCGCCGCTCGGGGTTCAAGTTTCCGATACCCCCCGCGCTTTCTGGTGTTTTCCGATGTTTCCCGGTGCCCCCCACGGACACCCGAAAGGCGGCGCAGCCCCCACGCCGCGCGGGGCCGGCACCTCCCGCGGCTGCGCACAGCGCCCTGCCCGCCTCCAAAATGGCGGCGGCAGCGCCGGGGGAGCCCCCGCCCCGTGTCCCCGCCGTACGCTGAGAGCGGGCGGAGGCCGCGGGAACGCCGCAACATGGCGGCGTCTGGCAGCGGCGGGAGCCGGGCGGATAACGGCTACAGCAGCCAGCAGCCGCGGCGGAGGAAGGGCCCGGGCGCGCTGGCCACGGCTTACCTCGTTATCTACAACGTGGTGATGACGGCGGGGTAAGGAGGCGTGCGGCGGCCGCCTGGGGCGCGGGGGGCTCCCTGGCAGGGGCGCGCCGCCCGCCTGCGCCCGGGCTCCCCTCAGCGCCCTGCCCGCCTTCCCGGCTCAGGGGCCGTCGCCTCCCCTCCGGCCGCCGCACCGGGGAAACTTTCCCCGCGCCGGGCACCGTCCCTCCGGCTGGTGGGGCGCCGCGGGGCCGCCGCTGCCGCCTCTGACGGCCCCTCCGCCCGCGGCGGCGGGTCGGGCTCCCCCCGGGGCTCGGCGGAGCCCGAGCGGCGGCGGGCGGGAGCTGGCGAGCGCGGGGCTCTCCGCTGGCGTGGGCTGCGGCCGCGTGTGCGCATCCACGCGTGTACGCGTGCGTTCGGGCCGGGGCAGGGCTGGTCGAGGAGCTGGGCTGGGCGCATCTGTGAGGGCTTTAGTGTAGCTGTGCCCCTTCCCTTGCCGATCCCCGTCCTGCCCTCGCATCGTGGGCTGACGGGCTGCTGTTCTCCTTGTCCCGCGTGGTCGTGCCTCAGGCTTTCGATAAGTCTGAAAAAACACAACCGAAACCCTCTTTTGCTGCTTCGTGTGTGCAGCCTTGCCTGTTTTCTCGTTTCTCTCCATCGCCTGCGATGGCGGTAGCCTGGAGTGGACAGATGCGGGGCCCTCAGCAGCAGCTCCCGGGCCCGAGCCCCTCTGCCCCGTGTCCTTCCAAGCGCCCCTTCCAAAACGGACGAAGCGGAGCGGCACAAGTGCATGTTCTCTGGGAACTGCGGTGGTTTGTAATTGACGCCTTCATTTGCCGTGCAACTGTTTTCTCATCCAGGTGATCGTGTAGGTTGCTTCTCTCGCCTCACCGCGTCTGTGATGTGGACTCTGGCACTTCTCAGTAGAGAGGTGAACCTAAACGCAGGGAATTCATCCATAGCGGTAGTTAAGGCGGCAAAGCGGTTATCCTTTAGAGCCCTGTGAGATTTCCCTGTAAAACCTTCAGCTGCTACGTACTCAGGGTGAAGTTGGAAGCTGCTGCTTGTGACATGTGAGCTCCTAGGCCTGCTTGGTGCTCTGCTCTTGCCCTGCTTGGCAGAATGGGGACTTCAGGTGGATGGTGCACGCTTCGGTGTGTTCTTAGGCACTGTAATAAAAATAGTGACAACTGGGGACCCTCAAGATAAAGGAGACCTTTTTTTTTTTTTTTTTCCTAAGAGACTGTAGAGTCTTACTGGAATTCAGTTAAAAATAAAACCATCTTTTGCAAGATTGAGGCTATTTGAGTGGGAGGGGGGAAAAGAGGCTTTAAAATGGATCCCAAATGAGCCTCCTTCCTGCTAAATAAAGCCTTGGTGTGTGAGGAGTTAGGCAAACAGATTAGTCTTGCTATTTTGGGGGAAGATTAGTATAAAATTAGTATAGATACGATTTATTTCAATAAGGCAGTTGGACATGATGAATCTTGTCTTTGCTGGTGGCAGCTGGTGCTCTTTCATCTTACGGTTACACTTAGGTGGAGCAAAGGTAGCTGGCGGGGGGAGCTCTGTTCTTGTAAGGTGCTCGTTACACCCGTTACCCAATAGGTGTGTTACTGTGAAATGGAACTGCTAAGCAGATTTATGGCTCCATGTGATATTTGCAGGGTATTTCACTCAGAAGGGAATGATAATTATCCACCAGTTTGATTAAAAATTAATCTCTTGTTTCAGAAATACTTCATTGCATGAGCAATATGGCACAGTACAGGCAGTCAGGAGGTCTCTTCAGATTTGCTGTGATGTCCCTGAACAATGTTAAGTAGTTAACCTCTCTGAGCAATCCTTAGAAGTAAAAGCATTTGCCTGCTCATTGAGCTGCTCATATTTAATTCACTTATGTTTATAAAAGACCTCAAAGACCTGAGAGAAATTGCTGTATAAATGAGAAGTTTCTGTAAAGGTCCTGAACTTTTTCTCATGGTAGGGAAGTTCCTGAGTATAGTAAATTTCTATTTTCACAGAAGAAAAAATTCAAACCAATCCAAGTGTTAGAAACTCAGAAATAAACAGCATAAATCTGTATTTAGCCTCCTATTGTCACATAAATCTTGATCATGATGTTACCTGTTTTCCTGATTTATACCAAACTTCCTAGACAATTCCAGTCTTGGGTGGGATGTGGCTTATGGTGCTTTAACATGAGCTGCTTTTTTCTGGGCATTTTTGTGGTTAGATGATTTCTGCAATTTGGAGAGCTACCATAGAGATCCTGTGGTCAGGGTTCATAGCTCTGCGTTGTCACTCACTGCTGTTCTTTTGGGCTAGGTCACCAAGGGCTCTGACTGATAATTTGTTTTCAAGTGGATGAGGGTTTTGCGCTTCCCTTGAACACTGCTGAAATTCCACAATATATAATATTGAACTTAGGAAAAAAACCTCAATTAGTTATTTTTCTTCTTTTTAAAAGACTTCATAATAAGGTAGTTTTTTAAGAGTTTGTTGCCAGAAGCTCAGCTGTTCATACGAGAAGATTGCTATGTAGCTGGTGGCAGTACTTAGTTACTGTCCCTGTGTCAATCAGAGTGCTCAGCCAGCACGGCGTTGGAAGGAAAATTGTGAAAAGAAAACACCAAAAATTTGAAGGTGCCCAGATGATAAAATGATGTTGTAAAAGCATATGGGATCTTAAAAACTTTTTAAGTGTGTTTTTTGGTTCTGTTTTACAAAAAGGTGGCTTTTAAACTGGCATGTAACAGCTTTGTTGTGCAATAAACAAGTACTTAGAGTAAATGTTTTAAAATCATAGTTGCCTTTGCTATTAGCTTTATTTAAAATGGATCGGGTAACAATTGAAAAATCTCAGCATAGTTATTGTATTTACTTTGCATTTACCTTAACTAAAGAAAACATATTGATTCTAAAGATAATATATCTTATTTCTACTTTTATCAGATAGTGCAGGTAGTGTGTGGATGGATTCCTAGTAATACAATGGCTTTTGCAAGAGCAAAACACTAGAAGTACATACATGCCCTAAATGAAGCTGCGTACACTTATCATTTGGTTCATATGTTTTGGTTGTTTCCTTTCAGAAAAGGGACCAACATGACAAAACAGGGAATAGCCAGTCCTGCAGTTGGTTCTCAGCTGTACTTGCTAAGGTTTTTTTGACCATAGTTCAAAGCATTAAGCTGCAGAAAGAATGCATCTTTCTTCTCTTGCATTCAGTCAAACTGTTATTTTCCTGTCACAGCGTGAAGTCATGTAGTCATGCCTGACCTGACATAGGGAGCTGATTCTGGAGGCATAGATGCAGCATAGAAATTATTTCCAAAAAAATAAAAAAATAGAAATAAAAAAATAGAAAATATGTTGACTGAAATCACTGAATAATGTGGGGGCTGGGAGGGAGGGCATGCTGTTAGAGTCGAGTGTAAATGTTTGATAAGCTGCTTTAAAATGCGATTATGTTTCTTATTTTTAGTCAAGTACTGCAACTGGCTAGTACTTCTTGGTAGAAGTAGCTGATGGTGGTATAAACAATTTCAAAAGGATTTCACTCAACAAGATAGATCTTAATGTAATAGCTTTTGAATTTGCAAGGGTTTATGTTATCGGTGTTAAGCAAAGAGTGTTCTGGTTTATGAGTTTCATTGTCCACGTCTTCAGTGACAGGTTGTTGAGAGTCAGAGTACACTTCTCCCTTTCCAGGTGCATTCACTACATAGCTTTGCTGTATTCTGTTGCATAAAAGATGAAGAACCTCAGTAAACTTTGCATAAAAAAACACCTTTTTATAATTTGTAAGAGAAATAAAGGGAATTAAGCTAAAGACCTGAGCATGAAGCTTTCTTATCAAGTCTGAGTGAGTGAAAGTAAAAAAATTAAATTGTGTGTATGACAGTATTCATTTTCTTTCGTTTGGATTAATCAGAGTGTAAGAGTTTAGTCTTAAAGTTCACATGCATGGCAGTGGTAATTTGATGAGATGTAACTCCAGCTGGTGTATCAGGTAGACTTTAGTGTCTAGATCAGAGGAAGCTGGAAAAGTTTGTAGCTTAGCTTCCATGTGACAGTGGTGCCTCTTGCTGCCCTTTTAAACTTCTCACAAGTTTCCTTTTCAGTTGATCTTCCTCGCTTTTACCTACTCCTATACCATTTTCTCTAGTCATAGTGGGTGAGAACTGTTTAAGAATCACAGAAGCAGGACAGAGGTACTAAAAGCTTCAACACAAACAAGGCACAGCTTTTAATTTTGTACGGGTTAATACTCTGATCTGTATTAAATGCTTTTTGAAGGACCGTAAATGGAATGGGAATTAGAGTCTTTCTGGAGTCAGTGATCCAGCAGGTTGGGTGGAGATGAGGAAGGGGCTGGAGCTCTGGGAGCCATGTGCTCGGTTCAGGTGAGAACAGCTTGCAGGCACAACCAAGGACCGGTACCTTGTGCAACCTGAGAAATTGCTCAATTCAGCGGAAGTTTCTCAACGAACACAGAGGATTAGGAAAAACAGGGAAACTTGACAGATATAAACAGCAGTGTTAATGTATCTGATTTACTATTCTAAAAATGAAGCAGTCAGTGTTGCAAGGGAGAGTCATTAATACTACAGCGCTTATTCTACACTGAAGTCCAAATACAAAATTAATCTGATTTCGTTCTTTGTAAACAGCAATTACTTAGCAAATGTTTGCCTTTTGGTTTCACAAGACAGCTTTAACTGAAATAACTTATCACTGCTGAAAAAAGGGAGGGCTTGTTTCTCATTCCCCATTTCTCATCCCCACTTCTACTGCTTTACTTTGGTGCTCATCTTCTGAGAAGTCCAGGCAGGAATTAAGTAGCTTTTTTTCAGTTGTACTAATAAATGTTGTTAAGAACACGAACTTGGATCCCAGATTTTCTTATTGTTGAAAATTCTGAATTTCATTATTACATTTAGGACAATATTTGTATATACTTCATAATAACTAAGCTAATGCGGTAAGCATCTAATATCCTGTAAATTAAGGCAATTTCTTCATCTTCCCTGTCATGAAACGACAGCTGCAGTTTTTTGGGTTTTTTTCAAAGACTGAGAAGGTATTGCATAGTTAGGGGATTTTCCACAGACACTTTTACTGAGGTGCACCACTGTTAGCAGAAACACTTGGTGACTGTTAGCACAAGCTTTGTAACAGCATTTCTGGGTTTGGAGGGAGGTGGAGGTAAAGCAGGGTGCCGTTAGGAGTAGCTGAGGGCAAGACAGCCAGGATGAGCTTGTCAGTGAAAAGTTTGGGAGCTGCTGGTAAGGATTCCCGCTTCTTGTTAACCAACTCCTTCTACCCATGTTTGCCACAAGCAGTTGGAAACTAAAGTTAACTCTAGGTGCTAATTTCAAATGAAGAAGTGTTTAACCAGGGTGTACCCATCTTACTTTTGTGGCTTGTCCTGGACTTCACTGAAGAATTTCTGAGGCTGTGGGCAAACATGGACTATTGACAGCTGTGGTAGTGTGCCTCAGCCAGGACTGGAGGAAAAAAATGTTAGGGTTGCTTCCTAAATTACCTGAGGGGAAAATCAGCAGGGTTAACAGATCACATTGTTTATAGTATAGTTGCAGTTACATAGGCACTACTTATATAGGCCTAGAGATATTTGTTGCTTACAAAGGAAGGCTGGGATGGGAACAGCCATTGCCGCCTTCAAGGCTTTAGCAGGCTCAGTTTTCTTGCAGTTACTTATCCATAACTGTCTCACATAAAATATATGCTAGCAATTAAGCTGGATGGTTTATCATAAAGTCTAAGGGTTTACTTTGAACTGAAACATTAAAATGAATGCCTTCTGAATCTTAATTGTTTATGTCATACTTCTTTAAGTTATGGTATGGTAAGAGATCTTTGACTAGCAATAAATGGTTTTCTTCTTGAACTAAGCAAAATGTGATGCCAGTCTCATTTAATGTGGCAAGAATACCTTCCATAACTAAATTAAATTCAGCTCACTGAAAAATAAACTTAGACATTAAATACATGGGTATCATGCTGGTGATAAAAGATGTTTAAAAAATGCATAATCTTTAAATATATGTGTTCTCTGCAAATTTATCAATGTTTTCAGTGTTGCAGAGGGTAGGGAAAAAGTATCTTTCAGGACAGTTATATGTCTGTTGCTTTCTCAGATATCTAAAGAGGGATTAAGAATTTCTATGTATTTATTCTCTGCTTAATGTCTCCTTATCTTTAGACTTTTTTCTCTCTTTCAGATGGCTTGTTATTGCGGTTGGTCTAGTTCGAGCATACCTGGCTAAAGGTAGCTACCATAGCCTTTACTATTCAATAGAGAAGCCCCTGAAGTTCTTCCAAACTGGAGCTTTGCTTGAGGTATGTATAGTCGTCTTCACTAGCACAACTAATATTTGCATGAGTGTGTTGTTTAGGAGAAATCAGGCAGCCTTTGTTGAACGGTGTTTCCTAGGTACCTGTTCTTTCATTAGCATTTACAGAATGATTTGAAGGTAAATGCAAGAAATATGCCTCACACAAATGCTGAATTTTTATTTTAGCAAGTGGTGAGGGAGCTTACTGTCTGCTATTTAGCTTGGGCAGCAGAGCTAAATTTTAAGCTTAATCTTTGAAATACAAATACTGAATCATAAGTTCTTGTGATAGAACTACATGTATTTCTGAATTGCTTAATTTCAAGTGTTAGTGATTTGAACTTTTCTTTTTGTTCTAGATTCTGCACTGTGCATTTGGTAAGCTTGCAAATTTTTGGTTTTATTATTTGTATAGAAGACTGCAGTTTTAGCAATATATGAGCATAAAAAAATGTTATGGTCTATGAATTGACAGATTTAATTCTTGCATAACTCACTAATTTTTGCTTGAATCACATTCCAGTTTTTTACTAAAAAATTTGACAAGTTAAATCACAAAAAGGAAAATAGTGAAACGGGTTTTCAGTTACTTGACATTGTATTTTAATCTAGACCCTTCCAATGCTACAAATCTTAGAGCAGTTCATAAGTATTTTATAGTAGATCGTTACTTTCCATCTCTACATTCTATAATCCTCTGTAGCAAGCTGTCTTTTCTCCAGAAAATATTTCTAGCTGAAAGTAAATTAAAATCCAATAAAAATGTTTGAAGCACTAGAACTTTGTCCACATCCCTAGAACATAGATATGCATTGTATAATTAAGAAGAGGTAATCACTCTATCCCCCGTTCAGCTGTGCTTTCGGGGAACTGTTTGGGAGAGTAAGAATTATGCAAAACTTGACTTGACAATTCTTGTTAGCTTGTATTGTGTGGGTTTCTTAGCTTGGTAGGAGGAGCTCAATTGTGTATACGTGGCTTGGGGTCAGTAGCAGTGTCGTGGTTCAGTCAACCTGAAGAGCCTTGTGTCTGAGTGACAGGATTGTATCTTGTCTGGTTTGTTAGTTGTCATGAGTAGCAAACAGTTTGGCCTCAGCATTTGGATGTTTTGTTCATAGAATAGATGATGCGTGGCGATCTCTGCAAGATCAAAGCCAGTGTGCCTGTCTGCATACCTTTGCTTAACTGATTTTTCTAAACAATCCCGTTTTCACAAGAGTCGGTCTTATGTTTAGGTAGTTGATCTTGTGATTTTAGTATAAGTGTTTGAGCTCTTATGTGAATGTTTGTTAGCCACTATTTAAAGAGTAAGATGTCATTAAGCTTCCTAAAGCTGCAGCTACAAACTTGCTGTTTGTCACATATCGTACAAACAGTCTACATACTGTAGGGTGTATTAGATTCTAGGTTCATATTGAATTCCAGTACAAAAGATTTTTTTTTTTTAATAACCAAATGTGGTAGTTGGAAAATTTAAAATCATACAGAGATTTGTCAGCAGAGGGCAGTCTAGTTCTGTATTTGATAAAGTAGTCCTGACCTTTTGGAATAATTCAGTTACTCTAAAAATCTTATTTTACAAAGGGCAGTGTGTAGACTCTGCACAAATCATCCCAAGAACTGAATAATCATATATTCCTCAAATTAATGTAAAGGCTTCTCAGAGTAAACTATATGTATCATATAGTTGCAGGTGCTGCCAAGGCAGTCCTTACAATACCGTTTTATTTTACTAAATCTCAATTACTGTGTTTCACCAGAATAACCATACTTGCTTTTAAAAAAATTGTCAAAAATTAGTAATAAAATGTGGAATTTTTGAAGTTTTATTTAACAAATAGCAAGACGGACAAGTTAAATCTCAGAACACTGGGCAAAAAAACTTGAAGATAAAAAGCCATTTTGCTGTCCTAAGTCTATAATGCTCTACTGTTTTATTGAGTTAAACTTTTGTGGAGATGCCAGTGTTTAGTAGTACTAAATCTAAGAAAGAGTGTAAAAAATTTCATTGTATTTTCTTCACACTTCAGAGTATATGTCCACTCAAATCAGTGAATAGCAGGAGAGAGTCCTACGTTTCACCTTCCAGGCTGGTACAGAACAGCAAACAAGATGACTGTACCAGCCTGTCTGTGTGCAAAGTTAATAATCCTGGCTCGGCTGATTTGAATTGTGGATCCATTTAGCCCATATCATCCTCAGTCGCACAATTTAGTATTAGTGAAGAGAGCCATTAGTGGAATGTTGCAGCATTTCATACCACTATAATTCTTTTTGCTTTCCCTAACAAAGTTTTTCACAAAAACCCCACTTATTTTATTATAACTGCCCATGGATTTTTTTTTCCTGTTAATGGAAGTATTTGTTAGCTAAATAAAGTGATGTTTTTTTTGCGCAGCTGGATACACTGCTGCTGTCTGCTGTAGTCTGAGTCTGGTAAAAGTTTTATGCAAGGAGAAACAGGAAATTTGCAGATTCTTTTGCCCTTGCTAAACTAATTGCTATAACTAGAGCTGTAATTCTCTGTCAATAGAGGAGCTTCTCTGTGACAGATGGCTGTGTGTATCAGCATAACTTTTATCTCCACATCTTTTCAGTGGAATCTGAAATGTTAGCATCTGTGAAGCAAGTTCTTCAAAATAAGAAGATTGATAGGGGAATTTCTCTATCCAGCATGGTTGAGAACAGAACTTGGGCACGTGGCAAAGATTTAAAAAATAGGAGAGCTCTACATGGAGAGGAGGTAACATGTAGACCAAGAGGAGACTGAAGGACAGGCAAATGGAAAGTGAACATGCAATTCTTTGGCTTGTGTGGCAGACAGAACCCAAGTGTATGAATGTAATTAATGGTATGGAAGCGCTTGTGCCTGGAGAAACTTGGTATTGGAAGGAGGTGATAGGAGCCACCAAAATGTAGAAGTAATAGTAGTACAGGGAGTTTGTGAAGGGGAGTGAAGAAAAGCAAGAAGGCTTTGGTGAGTACAGGCCCAACCGACAGAGTCACAAAAGTACCTGCTTTTCTACCACAGTGATGCTTACCAGTAACCCTCTGGTAAGCCAAAATCAGCACTGGTTGACTTTCCTAATGGAGCAGGCTAAAGCAGAGACGCGAGGGCTCCTCCTGTGAGCTACCCATACAGCCTGTGCTTGGTTGGGAACTCCCTGGGAGAGAGGTCACACGTGTTGGGAGTTGGAGGATTTCCTGCTGGAGGTGAGAGGCTTAGTCCAGGATCTGAAAGAGGTCTGGGCATGGCTTACTGGTTGCTTGGTTCTGGACCTGACCTATCTGTCAAGCTCTGCTCTAGCATGTGCAGTGTTGTATAAGTGGTGACAGATGTTTTTAAAAATACCAAGTTTAAAATTGACTGTCAGGTACCTTTTCAGTGCAATGAGTAAATAATTAGAGGCAAGTAAAGTTTACATAAATTGTAGCTGGTGAGTCACTTATTTTGATCTCCTGTGTTTGGCATAGATTGGCATTGTCTTGGCTATAATGAAAAACCTTGTTTGTCTAACTTGTGAGATAATCTTGGATAGTTCTTATACAGTCTTTTTGGCTTATTTATAGATTCCTTTGCAAGAACATTAGCATATCTTGCTTAGGAAAGCGTGATTTAAATTGTATAAAAGGTCTGTTATATCATAGGAGTAAGTCTTCAGTGAGTGCAGATTGTGGCGTTTTATAGCACCCCCTCTTGTGTTATCGGAGTAACAGACAGCGATACTGCCCCGAGGTTTTAAAACAGAAATTAGATTGTGAACAATACATGATAAAACTGAAGAGAACTGTGTTTCTAGGATTTTTCCATCTTTTTACTTTGAAAGAAGTCTAACAATGACTGTGTGACTGAAAATAATTCTAATGAAACTTGCTTTTGGCTTTTCTTATTCTTTCTTCCTCTTCCACTTTCCAGTTTGGTCTTTATGTATTTCTGAGGCTGTTGTGTTGCTTGCTGTGATTTACATTAGTTTTAGAAGCACTTTCTCACTGTATTTTAGGAGCTGCAACTGCTCTTGCATTTGTCTTCATCATGCAATTGGAAGAAAATAAAACTTTTTGTTGAGAAATTTTGTGTAATCTTGCAGTCCAAAGGTATTCCTGCTCTGTCAGACCTGGGTGTGTAGGATCCATTTAGTGGTGATTTAATCAGCACCTCAGAACTTGCTTAGAGGAACCAATGAAATCTGCTTCCTTGAGAAAAATATTAAAATTGTACCTAACAATGCAGCAGCTATTCCTTGGGGTTTGGTGTTTTGTTTTGTTTGTTTTTTAAAGTTGTGTTCCCAGAAAGGAATTATAAACTTTGTATCTATCTGAATATGGCTAGATCAGTGTTTCTTCAAAGTAGTTATACTTTTTGCTTGCTGTTTTGGGGATATACTGTGCAAAGCATCTTTATTGTTTTTACCTTTTAAATCACAGTAATTTAAAATACAGAGTATCTTGGACATTTTAATCAACCAGTGTTTATTTGAAAGACTGTATCCCAAAAGCTATTTGATTTAAGCTAACATATTCAGCTGATTTGTGTATTAAGGAATGTGCTGTGATGGCAAAAAGATCACTGTTTACCTTTATTTGCATTTTGATGCACAGTGTCTTGTCAGGGATTGCATTGCATTAGGCTGTGTAAACACAAGACAGGACAGACTTCATACTCTCAAATTAAAAAAATTAAATGCTTTCCTTCCAAAAAATTTCAAATAACTGGACTTTGGCTTGGCTGTGTTTTATTTCCCCACACCAATAGTCAGGAATATTTACTAATTGCAAAATATCTTCCAGGCATTGTTCCCTCTTCTGTTGTTCTGACTGCTTTCCAAGTGATGTCAAGGGTTTTCCTGACGTGGGCAGTAACGCATAGTGTGAAAGAGGTAAGTTAAGCTACAAAATAGATAGAAAAACTGATGACCAATACTGAAAAGCAAGTGTTGATCACTGTCTTATTTTCTTTAAAATGTCTTATGTTTGTATCCCAACCTGTGAAATTGTTTATGTGAATTTCTATGGATCAAAAGAAATAAAAATAAATCTCACATCACCTTTTCTTTATGATCAAATAGAGGTCTTATTGTAAGACATCTAGCTCCTGAATAGATTTTGCAGTCCTTACTGAAAGTTAGAGGTTCCAGTGTGTAATATGGAACCCAGAATTTAGGACAGTGTCCTAGTATTGATGTGATGATAGTGCCATAATTAATAGCAAAATGTCTGTACTACGCCCCTTTTTCATACACAATTTGCTTTCTTTACCATGGCATATGTAAGCTCCCCCTCAACTGTGCACAGCAGTGCCTGGATGTTCTCCATTATCACTTTGAGAATAATCTCTCCTCTGTCCTTTATTCATTTTTCTTACATTCAAGCGTAGGTGGGTTTTGGGGCCTGCATGTTTTTTCTCATTGCTTACCACACCAAATATTGCTGTTCTTCATACAAATCTCTGCAATTCTCTTTTGGAAGCAATCTTATTTGAAAATTATTCTTGACAGCTATTTAAAAACCTAAACATGCTTTAATTGATATAGATCATGCTGGCTGACTCTTCCATGTCATCTGAATACCTTGTAGTAGCCCAGATATGTCACATCTGTGCTGTTACTTTAGCCAACAAATCTTACAGGTTTTCTTATTAAAGGAAGATATCAGTCTTGATGCCAGTGTCAGCATGGCTGCCTGAAATATGTGATGGTCATCTAGTGTCATTATATGCATGAGATCTTGACATGGAGAATGTCTTCAGGAGCTTGCCTCATTACTGAGTCTTCAGGGAAGCTGCTTTCTCTTCCTTGCAGCAAACCTGTTATCAGAGTGTCCATCCACATGTAGAGTAACATAAGTCACTAGTTCCTCCTAATTAACCGCCCTTTCTGATATTATGATGCTTATTCATGTGGAGCTTTACTTTCAAGCTATTTAAAGTGGATAAATGTTATTTTTCTCAATGAACTCAAAATCTTGTAAATGCTTATCTTCTGATGGATTTCACTTTTGGTGTAAATAAATGTACTCCAATCACTGTTAATTCCTTAGAGATAGATACAAGATTTTGAACGAAAAAAAAAAAGCCATCCCAAGATAGTACATTTTAGATACACGTATAAAATATTTTTAAAGAAATATGCAATTAGTTTTGCTTGTTACCTGTGTAATGTTGGAGTACCTGGTGCTTCATAAAGAACAGAGTTATTCTGTTTTTATGAATTGCCTCCTTGTTTTGAAGTAACTCAAATGTTAAAGGTTGGATTGCATGGATTAGAATTATTCCATGTGTTGTCTGTTAGACATCAAAGGGAAGTCTGTAGGATGATTGTGGGTTAGGTTTCTTGAAACTTATGCCCACATTCTCACCAGAAAAAAAAACAGCAAAATGTGAGCAAGTTCAGCCTAACATTCAATTTTTAACAAGGATTCTTTCAACAATATTACACACAGGTTTTTTTCCTCACATTTATGTGGTCTTTTGGTTAAAGTCTTGCGAGAGACTGTATTATGTGTAACTGTTTTTAATGTCTTAGAAAGTGGGCATAAGAATGGTAAGGATGAGGAATCCTGTGATGAGTTTTTCACCGGTGACTTTAGAGCAAATAAATCAAATGAAGAGGCTGTATTCTGACCCCTCCCCTTCCCCCCAACCAGGGAGCATGCAGTCTCACCTGGGGAGATGTATTGAAAGTGTCAAAAGTGTTCTACTTTTTCTGAAGGGCTGTCTGCACAAGTGAGCTCCAATGGTGAAGTCCAGGATTAAATTCTCACACAGCTTTATGGAACTTGTAAGCTATGCAGTTGCATGATGAGGTTCTTGTACAATAAAATGCAGTTTTCCTCTTTAACTTTTTGAGTGAGACTTGTTCAGTATCTTGCTTTTCCAGACTGTTTTCATATATAGTTAAAAGAAGAAACATCTGTATTGCATCCCTCTTTTCTGTCAGAATACACTTCTAGATATGTGATGTGATTGGAAGCATGCTTCTTGCCACTAACATGTTTGTGCTTTTTGTTGAATTTAGTGCTGATGTGTTGTTCAATTCAATATGAAAGTATTTACAATAAATGTTGAAGCATGGCAAATGTTAAAGCACTGCACAGTTCTTTGAGTAGCAATGAGATTCCCCTTACCTCCAACCATATGAGCAGCTGTTGACTTAGTGGAGGAGGGCCTGGCAGGTAATACAGTACTCGTAATTGTTTTGTCACTACATTGGAAAAGAATTGGTTTGGTGAATTTTATGGTTTCCCCTCCAAAGGAGGGAAGAGAATGAGCAGACTGGTGTGAAGGGCTAGAATAAAGTAGAGGCATAGGAGAACAGAAGGTGCCCTTCAGTTCAAAGTTGTCTTTTTGAATTTGTGTGAACTATGAGATCATCTGGTGACATCATGACAGGCCTTCATAGAGTTCTGTTCTGATAGATAATTCTGCACCCTGTTCTGATAGATAATTAAAAAATGGTGTCAGCAGTGATTTAATGTTTATCCAATTAGGTTCAGTTACAGATAAGTTGCAGTTAAATAGAGTACATACTTAGAGGAACCTTTCTAGAACACTGAGTCAAAAGGAGTGGTGTGAACATGACATGTACAGCATTTTGAGCTGGTAATTAAGACTCTAGTATCTGTAGTTGTGAATTGATATCTTCAATAGTGAAGGATACTAAAAGAGCAAAGAGCATCTTAATTCATGATATTTCAGACTAACTTGTAGTAAAAGAAGCCCATGCTGGAAAGTTCAGAACTCTAAATTGGAGAGTGCAGTTGAAAAGCCTGATTCATCACTGCTTTACATCTGTGTAAAATTTAATAATACTGTATAACACAAACGTCTGTCAGGCCCTTTGTGCATACTGTGAAGCTTCCACTTTTTTTTTTTTTTCCCCCCCCCTTTAATTAATGTACCAGAGAACCAGTGCTCTGGAGGGAGATGTGCTGTTTTATCATTATGGTTGCAGAGTGCTGCTGGTTTTACTTTTCTGCACTGGATTGCTTAATTATGTGTTTAGTTGAAATTTTCTGCAAATAATTTGTCAAACTCTTTCTCTTAATGTGGAGGATTCTATAGAATTGCCCTTTTGATGCATAAGGACATCAGTAACAACCCCTCAGGCTTTATTGTGTCGATTCCCAATTCTCATCTTTGCATCTTAAAAGGCTGTGTGTTCCCTTACATTGTCTGCTGTTAATAGTATTGAAGATAAGCTAAAATATATTCAGGACCCTCCTCGATGATAAATTGGATTGAAACACATACCAAAAAATTATGCCGGTGGTATGATTGACCCTTATTAAGGCAGTTGGACAAATGAGTTGTAAATGAAGTGTAAAATGTGCTTTGACTTTGTCTAACACCTCCTTCAAAGACTGGTATGAAAAAGTAAAGGAAGAGAAATTGAGTTCTGAGGACAGCATTTATTAAGGTTTATTAAGGGTCTAATGTTTATTGGCTGTACTATCCCCCTTATCCTCAACTTGGAAGAGGAACAATACAAATGCAACATTAGAAGTGCCTAAATGAATAAGACTCTTGAGAGACTGTTCTGTAAATCAGTTCCCAGGGGTTTGCTAATGTGCATCTCAGACATCTTTATTTGAAGTATTGAAAAATTGTCAGTCCTCAAAGAGATATTCTAATAGTGACAGACTTCTGACTGCTCTGTTAGTGTGAAAGAAGCATACTTTTTAATGATGAGCTGCGGAATCTAGATAAAATATGATAATAAAATGCACACTAGTCTTCTGTTCCTTACTGCAAAGAATGGAACTAGTTGAAAACTGTATAGATCACTCTTGTATGGAAACTACCACCAATTCCCAGTATTCTTTCTTCCTTAAATAGGGACACAAGCTATAAAGGTACAATCAGTGATTCTTTAAGTGACTTTAACAGGGTAGGGTGTGTGTATGTGTGTGTTAATGTTGTGAACTGTTCTAATAACTTCTAAACTCAGTTCTAATATTAAAGTAGATGGGAAAGGCTGGACCTGTGAAGGCAGTGTTACAGAAGTCCTGTGATAGAACTGGATTGTAACTGCCAGATGTTCTACTTGCATCATTCACTGTTATTTTCATGGTTTCTTGTCCTTGCTCATGTCCTTCGGTGCTACTTCAAGCAATAAATTTTTGCTTGTTGGTTTTATTGATGTCCATAATTAGGGAGAGATGTAGGGTTTCGAAGTACAGGTTGAAGTCTGTGACTCATAGGTTTAGATGAACTCACAAAGCTGCTACTCCTGATTTGACCAGAAGATGCAGCTCTGGAGTGCTTGCGAAGCATGTTACTCCTTGGGAACAGCATCATCTGTGGATAGTGCTGTTAACCTTTCCAAGTTGAGAACTAAGTCTTGCTTATAAAGCAGACCCCAAACAGGATTAGGATTCTGTAGCAGTGTGAAAATAGATTTGGTCTCTTCTCTGAAAGTCTTCAAATAAGTTTTTTGGATTTTGTCCTTTTATGATGATGTAAGGGAGATTAATATATAAGCAAATTACCAAGAGTTTCATGTGGAAAAAGGACAAGGTTCATTTGCTGCAAAATGCAGTGAAGGTGACTTGAAATGCTATATGCAGCAGAATACAGATTAAAAGGGGCTCTACATTCCAGGGTATCCCAGGATTTCTGTATAAATCTTTCTGGGTTTTGTAGTCTGTAACAGAAGACTTTTTATGGGTAATCCTCATGAGTGTTTTACACACAAATATATGATCAGTCCCCTCCTACTAATAGGTTTCTGATTGCCCATGTATTTTCTTGTTCATTTTTTTGTTAGTATGTGTACTTTGCCAAAGATGAATAGAGTGTACCACCCTTACATACTGACTTCCTTTTCCCAAGAGTTGGAGGAAAAAAGAAAATGTGGGCCCCTGTGGTTGAGCTCTTTTTGGGCTCAGGGAACTCATACAGCTGATAATTCTGTTGAAGGGAAGGGCTGAATAAAAATCACATTTGCGCACTCAAAAGTTTGTAGTGTGGATACGTGACCCCATATACTGCTTCATCACTGTTGTTCCATCTGAAACATAAACATCATAATTATGCTTCCAAATCTAATAATTCATTGTAAAATACATGATTTTGAAGATTAACCTTCAAAATATGAAGGGAGTAAAAGCTGGTTCAGTGATGTGTGTGTGAAATAAAAGCACTGAGAGGTGTAAAGCAGTGAAACATAATAACGCCTTCAGTGTAACATTAGAAGAATCGTGCTGCATACAATAAACAGAAGGAGCAAGGAGCAGTGAAGCAGGTAGTTGTTAAGCTTACCTGAGGTGAGACAATCTTGAGCTTCTGTTTCTTCTGTCCTCCCAGCCTGTGTCCTGGTGTTAGCTGTTTAGCTGCTACTCAGAATTAGGACTTGGTTTCTCCTCTGTAGGGAGAGAAAAACAGTGCTTCTACTCAGAAGTAGCACAGACTAGGATTAGAATATGAAGAGTAAACTAGATATCAAGTGCTAGACTAATGTGTTAGCATCGTTTCTGCTTGCTGCACTAGGAGACAATCATAGGAACAAAATAGAAGCTGGTACTGTACAGGAGTGGGAAGAGTTATGAGTTGTTCTGGGCATTTCAGGGATTTCTTGTACTGATTTACCTTGCACGGAGTGGGAGATCTTAAGTTATCCGATCACCAAGCAGAGCTATTCTTAAGCAACTAGAAAAATATGGAGCATGAGAAAAAGGGTTTTTTCTTCTTATTACTAATGTTGCTTTTAAGCTCATTCTTGGAGTCTGTTCTCTAAAATGATGCCATAAAGCAACACATGAGAATTGATTTATTTGAGCTTTTCTTAGGTCTGGAGTAATTAGTAATGCTTGAATTCATACTATGCTGCTTTTTCTTTTTTACAGGTACAAAGTGAAGATAGTGTCCTGTTGTTTGTAGTGGCCTGGACAGTCACTGAGATAATCCGTTATTCTTTTTATACGTTTAGCTTGTTAAACCATCTCCCTTATCTCATCAAATGGGCCAGGTAGGTGGCATAATAGAAATCATAGCCTTAAAGCACTGATTTGACAGGGATATTTATCTTGTAAAATAGTTGCAGTACAAAAAACTAGATTCTACTTCGAGGTAATTGCCCTGTTTGCAAATATGAATTCCTAGCTTCTTTCCAGTAGAGTTCTGGGTTAAAAAAATCTGTTACATTGTAAACTGAAAGAGTAGTTTGTCAAAACTCATTCCCATTTACAAAGTGATTGTGTTTGGCAGAAGCTGACATTTAACAGTAAGGGGTCCCGGTAAGTAAACTGACATTTATCGGTAACCCTTGAATCCAAGGGTTGTACTTCAAACAGTCTGTAAGCTCAGTGATTAATATCAACTGTGTTTGGCCCCATTTTAAGTAATATAATGACCTCTATCAAAGAGTTTGGAAATCAAAGTAACAGTGTGTAGGGGGTAGGGAAGAATAGTTTTAAAGATAGTTTTTTAGATTCTCCTAGGTAATCTTTAAATAATTCAAACTGATTGCTGATTTCATCACTTACCTTGCAATAATGTTCATACCTTGCCATGCTCTAATCAAAGAAGAGCTAAGGGAAATAAGTACTGAGTTGAGAAGTTAAAGTTTGAACATCCATAATAGCATTGAACAAATACATTTTTGAGCTTGTCATAACATTTAATCCTTTCTGTAACTGTTTTTTTCTAGGTACACTTTGTTTATAGTATTGTATCCAATGGGAGTCTCAGGTGAATTACTCACAATATATGCTGCATTACCCTTCGTCAGACAGTCTGGCTTGTATTCCATTAGTTTACCTAACAAGTACAATTTTTCTTTTGACTACTATACATTCCTGATCCTGGTTATGATCTCTTACATTCCAAGTAAGTATGAGTGTGTTAGGTTTTTTAATATTGAAAGCTGCAAAAGGGAAAGCTAATCATTTTGGGATTAACATATGTATAACTAATTAATTTTGCAAAATTTATTTTGGAAATTATCTAAAGAAAAATGTCAGTTAAAACTGCAGGGATTGCTTTCTAACAACACCTGTCAAAGTAATACATGTTTTTTCTCTTACACTTGGAATATAAAATAACTGTTGTACTTCTTGGCAAATGTTGACATCTTTTTTTTTTCCCTCGATTTACAGACTTTTAGGAGAACAAAGTTCAAAACAGCTTCTTAAAATTCAGCTCTTGATAAAGAGGATAAAAACCATTGTTTTTGCATTAGTGCCGTTTATGCTCAGTTGACATCTCTGGTTAGTGTTTGTATAGATAGAATGAAGATTTGGCTTTACTGCTTTGAAATGGGGAGTAGGAGCACAGAAGCCTTTAGCAAATTTAAATGTGCAAATAAAGTGTAACATGCAGAATAATCTAGTGGTGGTGTTGCTGCTGTTAGCTATCTCTGCAGCTGGTTTTGAACCTTTTGTTTTTATCAAACGATAAACCATATTCAAAAATTTTAATTTCAGTAGTGTGCCTGTGTCTGTAACAAACATTTACACTTTCAGTGAGCCATCTTGTAATTCTGACATCAAAGTTCTAAGTTTTTCCAGCTGTTCTTAAAAAGAACGCTTTTCATGTATTTGTTTCTCCTTGTCCCCCTCCTTCAAAAATTATGATGTTATTAGCTCCAAGCAGCCAGAATAATATCTTCTGTTTTAGTCAAAATAGTCAAATAACCACAAATATTAATTACTTGTGTGGTAACTAGATCACAGTTGACAGGCCATGTGGGAGGGAACCCACACTGAACCCAAGTAACAACATTAGCCCACTTTCTCCATTAAAATTTCTGTCTTTTAAATGGGGTATTGTCAGTAATCCATTATCATTTGCTGGAGGGGTAACATGAATGTAGTCTGTCTTTTGTTTGTTTGTTGTTTTATTATTTTTTAAATTGTTATCTTAACTCTGAGAACCAACTGCTTAGTCTTAGTTGCCTTTTCACATGAAGGAATTCCTGTGCTGTTCCTGAGATACAAGGAATATTCCTGGTTCACAAAGGTTTAGTGTCTCGTGGCAATTTTAGCTTTTGCTGTTTATGTATGTATGTTTTCCATCCTCTTTGCAGAAGTTGTTCTGCAAACATACTGTGTAAGGAGTCTTAGAAATAGGAGGAAAAATAGCTTTTCGTGGAGGAGAGAAGAGATGAAAGAGGCACCAGTTTGTATGAAGTTCCTTAGATCCTGAAGAAGTGACACTAGAATTAAATTAAACAAATCCAGAAATTTCATTTTTTAGGGAGGACTTTTTCCTCCCTGCAATATATTTTCTTTCTATTGTGTGTGTGCAGTTAAGGAAACTTTTGTCATCTTGCTTGTACATGCAGAGTTAAATAAGGTATTTTACATTTAATTAAAAATGTGATTGCTCTAGCAAAAAATAAATAGTACCTGAAGCCTAAGGAGAATATCATATATTCTCTTTAAAGAATAAAAGGAAATAGATGACTTGAGCAAAAAGCGGATAAGTATTTTTTCTTTTAATACAGAATTTGTGACCTTGAGCATGTGACTGTGCATCTTACATTGACATGTAAGCCTCACTTCATACTTTATTTACTTAAGTCTGTTTTCTCCTCAGTCTTTCCTCAGCTGTATTTTCATATGCTACATCAGAGGCGAAAGGTACTCTCCCACACTGAAGAACACAAGAAGTCAGAGTAATTCCAACTGTTTTTCAGAACTTTTCAAACATCAAAATGCTGCAGATTTTCAATACCCAGCACATTTATAAAGAATATTCCAAGATAAGTCAGAGGTAAAAGACAAATAATTTAGCAAGAATAGCCAGTAATTCTGATTTCACTGAAATTCCACAATGTAAAACATGGAAATAATTTTCAGCTTGAAGTGCTTCAGAAAACTTTTAAACTTTATATGGCTCAGCAGTTAGCCTTTTCCTTTTCCTTAAATGATGTGCTAAATGGTTTTCATTTATTACTAAATGCCTGAAGGTTACAGTATGAGTGATGAAGTTGTACCCACTAAATGCTTGAATTGGGATTATATTACTGATACCTCTTTGTTTTTTTAATGCTTGACTGCATGCTGGAAACTGTATGCATTGCTCTGAAAGCAAACAGTATGCTCTGGAATACTTTAGGATTTTGTCAGACTTCAGTGGAGAATGTAATCTGGGCAAAGTGGTGAATTTAGAAAGGTAGGTTGTATATTTAAAAGGTGATGGGAACAAGAACAGGAAACCAATTATGGGAAATGAGGGGAATGTGGTTCTTTAGGAATTTAAACAGTAGGGTATCTGACCAGAGTGTGTTCTCTGAAGATCTTGTTTAAGCTGATTACTCAAATGCTAATGTTAACTCAGAGGCTTTAATGCTTATCTGAAACATTAAAACTCCTCTAAGTACTGCATCCCTGGATACTTTTTAAAAATATTTTAAGAAAATTAATACTAACTGTAATATTTCTAGTGATATCAGTAATGAATCTAAACAATATAAGGAGGCAGGTCACCCAGAAATGGGTGCAGTTCTCCCTTTTTTACTTTATCATCTCTAATCACTGTCCACTATCTCTGTGGTACTCATCTTTGAGTGTTGAGGACTGTTTGTTCTACTGTGGAATCATCTGAGGGCCTTGTTCCTCAACCTGACTTTTCTGAAGTGACTAATGTGTATCACTGGTACATCCAAGCAGGCAGTTCCAGGCACTTAGCTTCTGAAATGTTGCAAAGTCATAAATTCCTTCTTTGAAAGCAGATTATTTCATGTGTTACATGCTGCTTTTGCAGATTGGACAAGCCTTCCCTCATCTGCTCTTCTGAAAGAGCAGAAAACCATAGAAAGTTAAATTTCACATAAACAGCAAGGTGCTTTCTCTGGGTTCTCAGGCTAAGCCTTCCCTTGGGAAGGTAAAATAGAAAAAGAAAGAACTGGGAAAACCTTGTGGCAAAGCAGAAAGCGCTAATGATATGTGAGCAGTGCCCCAGATTATGAACAAACTGTTGACTGGGGGCAGAGAGTGGGGAATTTAAGGGACAATGGAGCAGGGAAATGAACAGATATCCAAGTAAAGGCAAAAGGAAATGTAGGTTGTGGCCTTTGCTCTGTTAGGAATTGATAGTCGAATAGTCCTATCTTCACCCAGTCAGAGCCACTAGACAACACCACAAGGATTTCTCTGGCTTCCCTCTTGTAACATCGTGATTTAGTGCATAAATGAGGTGTGACCACTACCATGGTACCTGCAATACTGGTTTTGTGCTGTGCCTGCCAGCACCTCCCCCTGGACGTGGCCCATATCTGTGTCCCAGTTACTTGTGCTTGATGTATCGCAGCTCTCCCTAACCTAGTCAAACATAGTAAGTACTAAGGGCACGGGCTCTTTGTTCTAGCATTTGGGGTGAGCTGGATTTACAGTTATTTACAATTATTTTGGTTTATGTTTGTCACAGCTATATTGAAAACAAACAAACAAAAAAAGAACAACAAAAAACCAAAAAAACGAATCTTTGCTTTATTCAGTAATTTCCTTTGGCTTCATCAAAAAGTCTGAATTTTCCTAGCGCTCGGTAACATGTATAACACCTTTCCTGTTCAACACAAACAGGACTATTGTAAGCAGGGAGAGGGTAAGAGGGTATGATCTTTGCTTCTATTTTAAACCTTTTGGAGACAATTATTTGCTGTAATCAAAAATGCTATTGCCATATACAGCCTCAAAGTGGTTTTGCATTCAAAGGTGCAACAATTTCAATTCATTTCTCCATTAGGTTGTGTGGTGCTTTGTTGTAGTGATCTGAGGAATGTTGCATTATACTGAACTCATTGTTCAAAAGTGTAGACTTCCACCTCTGAACAAAACATCTCCTTTTGCTTATACCTGTTATCAAAGGAGTTAGTGTCAGTATGTCTGAAGGATGTTATCTAAAAGATCTGATTTCTTAATGTGCTTAGGTTACTGGATATTGTCAATGCTCAGCTCCTGAACTTTTCTTGATTTGATTTCTGTGCCCAAATAAAAGATTTGATTTCAAATTTGTTGGTCCAATTTGGATAAAAAAATGTCTAATATTCCTGTATGAAACAAACTCATAGTTCTGTTGATGAGAAAGATGTAGTACAGATCTGTATTAAATAGCATTGACACTACAGAAAAGCAGAGAGAGCTGCTAGTAGGGAGAAAGCTTGTACAATCAGAGTGTTTTCTGGATGTGCGTTATTATGGAATATTTACTTTAATTGAAAATATTAATTTACCACAAGTGCAAATAAACTACAGCCTTTTAAAAGAAAACAGAGTTACTTTTCATTTTAAAAGAAAAAGAAATTGCTTAGTAAGAAATCTTATCAATAAAGTTGACTTTAAAATTATATTCTGAAGTATGAACATTCGGTTAGTATGTACAAGAATTCCAGCACTTCAGCTTGCAGTGCCTTTTCAAGTTTAGCTTCCATGGCAATCACTGGAAGGTGATCTTGAGTAAGAACTGTAGTTCAGTGCCCTAACACTGTTTGGGTTTTTCTCTAATACTGACTTTGGTCACACATATGGGTGTTTTCCTCCTCATAAAATATGAACAAGTTTCCCCTCATCTGTCACTGAAATTGTAATGTGGTTTATGTGAAGATTATAATAGAAGCTTTGATTAGTGTTCTTTGTCACAAATCTAGAGGGTTTTTTTTACCTACAGACTATTTACTTGGCTTGCATGTTTTCAGTCAGCATCACCAAACTTCTGCAGCAGACATGTTTTCTGCTTTGGTAATCTTTGTGTTGTATGCACTGGTTCAGTCAACAATACTTTACATTCTACTGTGCTGGCTTTGTCCAAGTCAGTTATTACCCTCTAAAAGACCAAGGTTCTTACCAATGTATAGTTTACAACTGGAACTGTAGAAATATTCATATTGTTAATTTCAGTAAGATGCAGGTTACAGTGCAGGTAAATTGTAATTTTTTACAATGTGATGTTTCTATCAAAAGTTTGTTATTTTCTTTATTACATATCAGTAGAAGGGTTGGCATTTGTGTGGACCAATCTGCAGTGTCATTTTAAAACCTATTTTTCTGCTTACAAATTTCATGAGTATACATCAGATCATACATTTTTATGTATATTTACATCAGTGAAATTTGAGTGAAAACTATAAAGTCATTTTTGTATTTTTTTCTATGTTGTGAAGAATAAAATTGTAATTTTATAAGTCTGATTCACTAAGATTATTATAAGTTAGATGTATTTTTTGTATATTTAGGAATCTGGTATTACTTGGAGCTCTGAAAGATTAAAGATAGACTTTTTATGCATGGTTGGAAGATATTTCTACTTGATAATGCAGTGAAATGGTTGTATGCTAAAATATTAGTCTGTGTTGTTACCTTGTGAAATTGATTCTGTGCTCTCTGCCTGGATTTGGCCTACTGATCAGTGATACTAATTGCTATAATCCAAATAAAATAATTCTGAACAAAATATGTTGTATTGTTACTGTTTAAGGAACAAAAGCAGGTACTTTTATAACTGTGAATTAGGGCTGTATTTTTATTCATTTGTATATAATGTGTACCTTGCAATTTACCAGATTTTTTTGGCATACATAACTTTTGAGCTCAAACAAAGGGATTTAAGCAACTTGATATTGTTAAGAATGCTTTGCTCTTCACTTTTAAAATATGCATTCATAACATGTTAACAGACTGTGTTAACATTCAAACTTATAACTTCCTGAAGGGTCCTCAGTAGAATGCAAGCTCTTTGTTCTCCTGTTATCTGTATACTAGATGGTGATGGTTTTCTACAAAAACAAAATCATTTCAGTGTTATAAATATAGTGGAATGCTTAACTAATGCAACAGAATACTTCAGAGTTGATTTACTAAATATAATATGTCTGCTGCCACAGCAACATTCTTAGTATTTTTAACACTTCCTGAGAGAGATTTAAATACTGTGTCTAGATGCCATTAATTCTCATAAATAACAAGTTACAGTCCTCTAACAGGAGCCGAGTAGTAGTTGCAGAGAGTGCCGTTATTCAAGGCATATGCTTGTCATAAGATTGCACAACTACAGTGATTTTCTTGTTTGATTGCAGAAGGGATGAAATAACATTGTCATGCCCAGCCTGAGCACATGTCCTACGCATGATAGCTGTGACTTAGCACTACTGTGTAATTAAAAACTTATTCTTGAAATGTTACACCGTGAAGAGTGGTGCTGAGCTCCATTTGTGCCTTAGTGTAACTATTTCTGGTTATTTGTGTTTCCTCTGCATTTTGAAAACAGTATGTGTGGAAACAATTTTAGTTACTTAGGGTAACATTGAAAAGTCTGGAAAGCATAAGGATTCTTGTTTGTAAGCAAATTAATTTCACAATAGTATTTAAGTCTCAAATAAAGCATTGACAGTTCTTGACATAAGACCTGAGGGAAGGATCTGTGCTGGTGTGCTGAGTATAAAATACAAGGGTGTGAATACCTGTGTGATGCAGTTTCATTTGGTATGGACTGAACATTTCTAGAGTTGGGATTGATTGATTCAAGCAACCCAACTACCTGGAACTTTCAAACTTTCATTCAGTATCAAGTGGCTTTTAAATTCTGCTTCCCATCTCCTAAAGAAATACTCTTTCACACTTGTCAGAAGACTTCTAAGATAGAATTCTAAGAGCGAATTAATAAAGCTTCTGTGGTGGTTTATGAGGCAGCCTTGAAGCAGTTGGAATTTAAAAAGCAGATGGAAAATTTGAAACTCTTAATAGTGTTGGCCACTGATTTCCAGAATAATACTTTTCCTTTACAGATGTGAAAGATCCTAAAGCCCTTTTTATGTCTTCACAAATTAGCTGAGCATTAGTATTGTCAGAGGTGTGTTTTTGTCTTTGATGTGCTGACATTGATAATGTGCTAATATCAGGGAAAGAAATGTTACTGTCATACATTATTTTTTCTAGTGTTTTAAGTAGATGCATATTATTTCCATCTTCCACTATAAAAGCATAATTCACAATATTTAGAAACACTTCCATGTCTAGTTATACTTGTAAACCTTGTGTCACAACAAACTGTCTCTCTGTAGATTAAATTAATTCCGTATAGTTTGTACATAGACATTTTACATTACCTGGTACTACATGAGGATGTTGTTATGGAGAAATTCATTAGTAGAAGTTTTTGCAGAGGCTTATTCAGCTGAATTGTGAACACTGAATTGCAAACACTGAATTGCATTTTGTTCTGTCTTTTTGACTCCTGATTCAGACAGTCTGCACAATCTTCTGCAAACCATCTGTTATCACTTACAACACGTGTATATTAAAAACTTTAATACTGACATTTTCTAGTTTGAACACTTGAACTTGCGGATTCATATTTGCTGTGTAATCTACATTGAGCCTCTTGGGCGCTATACTTAGTCTCACTCTAAGAACACTTGAGTGATAACTGAAATGTGTGTGTGTATATATAGTTATTCAGATTATCTTCTTTAAAATTAATTTTAAGTTGAGGTCAATTTAAAGGTCAGCCCTTTGTTTCTTCTTCATCTAGCATGCCTACAAAAACATTGAGTTGCGGAGAGGATGTAGGAGGTGGAGGGCCCTCCAGTCAGCCTAACACTAGGTTGCTTTTATGAAATCAGTTTGCTTTTTAGTTAAAGGTTTCTTCAGGTAAAATACAACTTCTTCACTTACTGGATAAGAAGAAGATACTGACTGCTGGTCTTCTCTACTAAATGACAGTCAATAAAAAGATGAGATAGAAGAGGAGAGGTCCTGGAGGATACAAAGCTACAACTGTGCTTCCCAAATAATATTTGGGAGACATTGGTGTTTTTTTGGTGTGTTGTGGTTGTGTTTTGTTTTTGTTTTGTTTTTGGTTTTGTTTTGTTTTTGTTTTTGTTTTGTTTTTGTTTTTGTTTTGTTTTTGTTTTTTTTTTTTTTTTTTTTTTGTTTTTTTTTTAAGGCAGAATAACAGCACTTAATGGAAATGCTGCAGTGTTCTGCCTGGTGTGTTGAAGACATGAAGTCCCTTTCATTCTCCACCAGGTGTTTATTACATGATTATGAGGAACATGTCCCCTGTTTAGTCCTCTGTTCCTGTTGTATGAACTACTTCTGAGAAAATACTGGTTTGAGTATTAAATGTGTTTCCTTACTCAGCTTTTTGGTGCAATTTCAATTAAGTAAACAAAGCATTTTAACTGTTCTGAAGTTAGCAAACTGGAACAGTGGAAAAAGCTTTCTTGCATCAGCAAGAAAAGGAATATGAAATTGAAAGTAAGATACTGCTGGTTAGTTGACATAGTGAGACTGGAAATTAACAGCTGATATTGTCAAAGCCCTACCAGAAGTAAACCATGCAATCTGAAGGTCTTGAATTATTCTTCAAAAAGTAGTGTCAAATCAAATGATATGTGGAAACCTGCTCTAGGCAAACAGGTATGTACAAAGATGAGGCAGATGTAAGCATTCATGGGCCAGTGTGCTCCAAGTTCCTGGTGATACATGACTGCGGATCAGGCCATAGCTTGCCAGGCTTTGAATAAAATAAATTGCTAGTGGAAGGATGTGAGACTGCTATGTACCACTGGTGTTAAAAATAATATGATTCAGTTACGTGTTTTAAACTGATGATATTTGTTCACATAATAAACTATCATTGGAGTTCTCTTACATGAATTCTTAATAAATGTACTATACAATGTATTGTTATCTACCCATTGAAGTTTTGTAATTCAGAAAAACTTTTAAATAAAAAAAAATTGCCTGATTTTGTATATTTTTATTCAAGCCTGTCTTTCTCATGAAAACTGTGTAGGCAATAATATTTTTTTCTGGCCCATTTACCTGTTCCTGATTGGGATTACAGTCACTAAGAAGTCCTAGCCAGAGTTGAAAGAAGGGTGTAGCCTCAGACAAATTCCCATAATTTGTGTCTGTGCTTAGCTCCAGACTATCTACAGCGTGTGCTAATCTAATGTTAAAGTAAGAGGGGGGGGGAGTGAACACAGAAAATAAGGTCAAAGATTTGACACTAGCATAAACCTAGCCTTGTGCACAGAATAACACTATTCCATGCACCCTCTTGTAGTTTCTTACATAACTGGGATGTTACCACTCCAGTTTATTCAGTGCAAATTTGATGGGCAAAGCCACCTGACTCCAGGCCCTGTTTTCAGGTGTACTGAAGCTAGGCTGCTTGGTAGTGGAAGTTGATGAGTTGCTGCTGTGCTTAATGCTGTAATGACAAGGCCTATTGCACAAGTCCATTTTAGGCATGTGTGACCTTAATTATTGGTGCCTCTTAACTATTTGTGCTTATACTGCAAATAAGTGTAGTACTTTTGTAAGTGGAATTTAAGACAGAACCTCACTACAGTTTGTGTAAAGGTATTTGATAATCTAGTTTAAAACTATATAGTTTATGTGCCAAAAGCATAATTGTTCTGCTTTGAGCTTCATGCAGGCTGCAGGAGGTCACTCAGGATAAGTGTTTCAGTCATGCTGACGTTGCTTTGATGTTATCCATAGGTGAGCTAGCAAGGCTGAACACTGAGTAGGTATATATGGGCTACAGTTAACAAATGAGCTGCTGTGTTCGCAATCTTTGTAAAGAACTGAAATCCTTGGCTGCTTTTTTCTTAATGTCAGGATTATATGAAATCCCTGTGAATGACCACGTGAGTTATTTCTGTTATGGTGAATTTCATGATGCAATCCTCCTGTAGTGCGTATGGGCATGTATGTGTGTTGCAGATCTGTATCTCAGCTCTAGCTTGACCTAAACAGTGTAAGAATGCACATTTTTTAGTTTTGCATTTGGAGTGAAATGTGGTTGCTGCTGGGAAAAAGTCGATAAATCTGATTCAATAAGCGCCTTGTCTTGCTAGGCTTCTACACACCCCTAAAAACCCTAAAAGTGGGTGATGAGTCAGGTTGTTTTGGGTTGGACTTTTTATTTATTTTTTTAAATGGCTGTGGTTTTGTGCTTTCACAGTTTTCTACTTACTTTTGTTTCTCTTCCTCGTGAATAATCTGACTGTTGGTTTGGGGGGGTGAGCAAGAGAATATATAATGATATATAATGGCAGCTTGTTCAGTTTCAGTATTTCATGCCTGAAAGTTGGATTCATCATTTTATTATCTCTGAGTTTCAGAGAAAAGATATAGTTGGTGAAAGGACTAAGGACCTGTTTTATGAAAACTTCGGTAATTTGGGAAGCATGGATACTTGAGAGTTCTGGATTTAATACTTCAATAAATCTTACGCATGAAGGCCATGAAAAGTGAAATGTGTGATGTGTGCTCTGAGGTCACTATCTAGATGTCATTCCCTATTTTAAGTAAATAATGCAAAGAAAGAATGCTAATGTTTGTCTACTGCACCTGTTGTAATAATAAAGTAAAAAATGTTTTGATACAGATTTATGAGGTTACATCTGCAATCAGAATTTGTGTGAATTCTTTGTGTGT